CCTCACATAGCATCTTTCTTCCTCAGTATATAATTTATTGTACTAGAATTTAAATTAATGGCATACACTCAAACTAAATATCATAATTATCTATTACACTGATAATATATTGAATAGGGGTAATGTAAATATGAAGGACAGAATGTGAGTTAATTACCCAAGAAACAAACCAAACAAATGTGTAAATTAAAAGCACAGGAAATGGGCCACAATAAATGGATCCTGTCAGAATTGAAGAAAAAAATGTGGAAGAGAACTCAAATTTTTTAAAAGTACATACTTACTTGACTGTTTGAGACTAGAGAAATTGCCAATACTATTGTCCTGAGATATTATTTAAATCTTAAACTGAAATTACCCCTTGAGATGACCTTTTAGCTGAATAACAGATTGGCTAATAAAATAAAGAATATCACCCTTTCGATGAGCTCCTTTGAATTATCATCTATATAAGACCAAGGTCAAAAATTATCCTGAAGCAAAGATGAGAAGGTAAGGGGAAACTAAACTCAATGCCATAAAGTCAATTCCAACTCATGACAACCCTACATAAGGTTCAGAGCATCTTTCTTTCATGGAGCAGCTGGTAGATTTGAATTACCAACCTTGTGATTAGCAGCCTTGTTTTAGTCATCTGATGCTGCTATAACAGAAATACTGTAAGTATTTATAAACAGAAATTTATTCTTTCACAGTTTGGGAAGCTAGATATCCAAATTCACATCACTGACTCTAAAGAAAGGTCCTTCTCTCCTTTGAGAATCTGTAGGCCCAGCATTCCTTGGAGCTCTCCATGTGTCTTGGTATTCATGTTTCCCTGGATCTAGAAGCTTAACAGGTCAAGGATTCCAGCTGCATAGGATGCACTGTACCGTGGCTCTTCTTGGCTCTTCTTTCTTGGTGCTGGTGATGGTGGTTGTGTGTTGTGGAGTGGGTTCCAACTTACAATAACCTTGTGTAGGATTTTAGAGGCTGTAAATCTTTACAGGAGCAGAAAGCCTCCTTTTTCTCCTGTGGAGCAGCTAGTAGATTCAAACTGCTGAGTGCAATTAGCAGCACAACTTGTGATCCACTACACTACCAACGTCCCTTAAAATTTTACTTTAGTGATAGGATAAACATAAAAATCTAGACCAAATGTTTCTGTGAATAAAAAGAAATAGTAAGCATTCACTGATATTCTGAGTAGAAGCTGAAGGAAATCCTTCTGATTAATTCCAACTTTAGGACAGACAATGGCCATAATGAATATTCTATTTTTCTCTCTTTGAAGCCCCTACACCTCCCATGTGATACTGGCACTCCTTAATACACACGTCATTGTTTCACAAGAGACCACTCTAACACACAAAAGGAATTATCAGAAATGTTTTGGGTTGCATAGGTAAATGAGTTATTGAGGTTCCTGATATTTGTCTCATTAAAAAAAAAAAAGGTAATTAAACAAAACTTTAAGATTCTACAAAGATGATTCCATGAAGATAATTCTATGCAGGTGATTAAAAACAGTACGGAGCCAATCTTTAAGATTCTACAAAGAGCAAGGAGTTGAGCCACTGGTGTGCATGTACTTGTCAATTTCTTCTTTCCCAGAGGTCACTGTTTTAGAAATCCTCTGGAGCAGTTCTACTCTGCACACAGGGGATTGCCATGAGCCCAAAGCAGCTCCTCAGCACCTAACAGCAAATTACTCACAGAGAAGCAAAACAACAAGGGACCTAGATTCCACCTTCAGGGTGACTGCAGTTTTCTGAGAAAGAGAAACATTCTTTTTAAAACTTTTATTATGATTTGTTTTGGGTGAAAATTTACAGAGCGAATTGGTTTTCCATTCAACAATCCATGCACATTTTCATTCTTGACATTTATTGCAGTCCCCACAAGGTAACAGCATTCTCCCACTTTCTTCCTGTGTTTATCATTTCCATTTATCCTTCATTCCTATCCCTTCCTACATTCTGAGTTTTAACTCTGGGCAAATGCGACCCTTTGGATCTCTGTATGGTAGATCGTTCTAAGGAGTGAATACCTTCCAGGGGTTATTGTTCACTTTATAGGCCTGTCTGTTTGAGTCCTGGTGTGGATATAAGATTACTGGACTGCTAACCAAAAGGTCAGCAGTTCAAACCCACCAACTGCTCCTTGGAAACCCTATACAGGGTAGCGTAGTGGTTACGAATCGGGCTGCAAACCTTAAGGTCAGCAGTTCGAAACTACCAGCCGCTCCGCGGGAGAAAGATGAGGCTTTCTACTCCCGTAAGGATTTACACCCTCGGAAACCCTGTACAGGGTCGCTATGGGTCGGAACCGACTCGACGGCACTTAACAACAACATGAGTCAGAACCAACTTGATGGCATTTGCCAACAACATTGCCTGCCTCAAAGTAAAGCCACAAGCGTGAGTTTGGATTCAGGCTTGAAGGTATCTAAGGGCCATAGTCTGTGGTGTCCCACCAGTCCCTATCAGACCAGTAAGCCTCGTCTTTTTATTAATTTAAGTTTTGTTCCACATTAAAAGAGAAACATATTTTAAGATTCCTAAAACAGGAATCAAAGTGTTTGAAAAGCAGATATTCAATTAAATATCCTTGAACAGTTTCTCAAATGATTGATATAATGAGTTTGTGGTTTGTGAGTGTATAGAGGACTACATTGTCATTAGTATGGTGATGATAATGTGGTCTGGAGTCAGTTCCAACTCATAGCAACCCTGCATAGGGTTTCTGAGGCTGTAAGTCTTTATGGGAGCAAAAAGCCTCATCTTTCTCCTACGGAACAGCTGGTAGTTTCCAACTGCTGACCTTGAGGTTAGCAGCCCAACTTGTAACCACTATGCTACTAGAATTCCTTCATATTGTCATTAATACCTCATATTTATGTAAAAAGTAAAATCTAAACTTCAAAAAAACTGAGTTGTTTATTTTGTTAACTGCAGTCGAGTCGGTTCCAACTCAGAGCAACCTTGCATAGGGCTTCTGAGGAGTAACTGATGGGTTGGAACTGCTGACCTTGCAATTAGCAGTCTAGTGCTTATCCTACAGAGCCACAAAAACTCCTAAGTAAAGATTACATGAGAACAAATCACATCGTCTTGCATTCTGTGTAATCATTAGGAGGTTATAGCACTTTTATTCTGCTAATATTCATAGCTCTCCTGGTATTATACAGTATAATTATTAAAACTCCACTGATAGTTATTGAGTGGACTTTGCAATATAGTTTCATACAATATAATTTTTATTAACTTTTCATTTTACTCTATTCATTGTCACCCTTGGCTCAGTACACTTGGGCTCAGTACAAACACATACAAGTGCATTTCTACTAAAATATTCCATAGTTTAAATTTTCAGATTTTATTTTTGTTGGTAATCTGGATAGAACTCCCTGACTTTTACTCTAAAGTGATAATAATGTTTATTCTAATCATGATTATATCTTACTTTCTTACTTGAAAAGAATGAAGCACAGATTAAATATTATATCAAGATTCCATACTAATCCAGAGGAATAGTACAGAATAGAGATTTTATTTAGGGTTCAACAAACCTCAAACTGCTTGTGTAAACAAGCAGCTCATGTTTATTAATGCATCTTTTCAGAACCAATATGTGTAGAAACACAGAAGCTGTCATAAAACAGTGGTTACACATCAATTCTATCCTCTGTGTACAGTAAATCAAAATGAAACTTTTCCATTTGAACTTTATTTAAGTAGATCCTAGCATTCTTGTGCACTTTTTATGAACAGAGGGATGTTGTTTTCTAAGGATGGAGTTCCTAGGAGGTGTAAATGGTTAAACTCTCCTAACTGATATGTTGGCAGGTTGAACTCAACCAGAGGCACGGTGGAAGAAAGACTTGGAGATCCCAAAAGATGACAGTCTTGAAAACTTTATGTAGTGCAGTTGTACTCTGAAACATGTAGGGTGGCCTAGAGTCAGAATCCACTTGAGGACACAGGAGTTAGATCCGTTTCTCAAAGATAATGGTGTGGGGGAAAAAGGTTTTAGGATTAAAATTACAAAGGATGAATTATGGTTGGATGGCAAGTCTCTGAACTTTAGTTCAACATCTGTTTTTTACAATCACCAGTGGATCTGTGATGTTTAATTTCTTCAGATTTTTATTCTGGTACAACTCTCCCATAGTTGTTATTCTATGAAACTTTCATCATGAACCTAAACTCTTTTGTTACTGTTCTTCATCACCACTCCAAACTTCTTCAAAACTTCTGTAAACTATTGGCTGGGAAGTCTAGAATCTTTCCCAAAAAGGAGCCGACTGGGTGTGCAAGTAGTCGTGGAAAGGAAGTGTATGCTCGTAAGACACCTTGCTAATTTGTCAGAGCATTTTCCTTTCCCCCATGAACTAAGGAGGTGGGCCTTTTGGTTCGTAACAATGCTTCTACTTAGATCGATTACTTTAAGATTGCAGTTTTTATCCCTATGAATGTTGCACCTAATTATCGCCATATTCGATTACACAAATGTCTGCTGTTTGTGTTCTGACTCTTTCTGCCAATAACTGCTGAAAGTTATTTATCGCAGCTGTAACGGAGCACTGACAATGTAGGCTGCAAAGTGTGAAATCATTCCATTTTACTGTTGTGGTCTCTTTAAGACTGATAATATTCAGTGAAACAGGCTTGCAAAAACCCCGTTTAACTATAATTAAAAAGAGTGTCAAAGTGGGGTGACACTAGATGGTGGTTAGCCGGTGAACACAGCGTGAACGCTAGTTTTTATCAGAATCCACACCATTCAGGGGGAATGCTTTCATCTGAAAACGATTACTATGTTGCCTTCAGGTTTCCGCCCCTTCCTCCTCCCTGATAAAGTTCTTGCTAAGTAGCTTCCCAGATGTGGTTCATTTGGAGAAAATGAGCAGGAGAGATTGAAAAGGCTGCAGTAGGCGAAGCGCTGTCAATCACACTTACGAATGCATGCGCTTTTTCGTTTTTCCATTCCCCGAGGGTTTGTTCCGCTTTAAGCGCGCTATGCCCTCGCCTCTGCCGGTGCGCCGTTTCTTCCCCGGCGAGTTCTCCCCCTCCGGGGACTCGAGGCCCTGCAGCAGTCCCTGCGAGCGCCCAAGTCAGCGGGAGCAGCGCGTCCTGGGCGGCCCCTCTCCCAGGGCACCTCGGTTACCCCGCCGCCTGGCTTGGTGCTCCATCGACTGGGAACAGGTGCGCTTTCTCCAAAGACTAGGGACTGGAGGTTTTGGCTCTGTCTACAAGGCCACTTACCATGGACTTCCCGTGGCCATAAAACAAGTCAAAAAGAACACCAAGAACCGACTGGCATCGCAGCGAAGCTTCTGGGCTGAGCTCAACATAGCCAGACTCCGCCACGACAACATCGTGAGGGTGGTGGCCGCCAGTACACGCACGCCCGCAGGTTCTGATAGTCTGGGCACCATCGTCATGGAGTTCGGGGGCAACACCACTTTACACCAAATCATATATGGAGCTAACAGCTACTTGGAGGAGCCAGGAGAAGAGTCTCCCTGCTCTGCTGGACGACGATTAAGTTTGGGAAAGTGTCTGAAGTATTCCCTTGATGTTGTCAAAGGCCTGATTTTCCTTCATTCACAAAGCATCGTGCACTTGGACCTGAAACCAGCGAACATTTTGATCAGCGAGCAAGATGTCTGCAAAATTGGGGACTTTGGTTGCTCTGAGAGGCTGGAAGACCTGAGTTTCCAGGCTCCTCACCACCTTGGCGGCACCTACACCCACAGGGCACCAGAGCTCCTGAAAGGAGAGACCCTAACTCCCAAAGCTGACATCTATTCTTTTGCCATAACTCTATGGCAGATGACGACGAAGGAGATGCCTTACTCCGGAGAGCGACAGTATGTGCTCTATGCTGTTGTGGCCCACAATCTTCGTCCTTCTTTCTCAGCTGCTGTCTTCACTGACTCTGTCCTGGGCCAAAGACTTCAAAGCCTCATTGAAAGTTGCTGGAGAGCCAACATTTGGCAGCGGCCAAGTGCAGAACTTCTCTTCGTTGATCTTAACTCTTTAAATGTTCAGTTTGGCTGACTTTAAACCTGTATGAGACAAGCTTTTCTCTTTGTATTCATTTTTAAAGAAGTGGAAATGTAGAAAATGTAAGATGGACTTTTGGAAAATAAAATTACGTTTTTACTTAAAACATTGATTAGTCTCAAATGATTTTTTTCTAAGACAAAGCTGAGCTAAAAATTTAGTACTTGCCTTAACACTGTTAATAGCTAACCATTTTCATTTACAAAGCTGTGGGTTTGGCTTCCCACAGCTACTGTTTAACAGCTCTGTTTTATTGCCAGTCTTAGTTACCTGTACTGCTACAATAGAAATATCACAGTGATGGCTTCAACAAACAAAATTATTTTCTCATTGTGGTAGATTAGAAGTCCAAATTTAAGGCACCAGCTCTAGGAGAAGACTTTCTTTCTCTGCCAGCTCTGGGGGACGATCATTTTCCCCTTTCAATGCCAGTGGGCCCCACATTCCTTAGAGATATCCATATGTCTTTGGTCATTCCCTGGATCTAGGAGATTCTTAGCACAGGAACTCCAGATTCAAAGGAAACAGTCTGCTTCCAGCTCTTCTTTCTTGGTGATATGTCCTTTACCTATGTTCACGTCTCTCTTACAAGGTAAAGGTATGATTGATTGTAGCAAAGGTGTGACTTGAAGAAAAGCAGTGATGTGAGTACTTAAGTAATGCTGGGGCCTAAGTGAGACCCTCTTGTGGAGCTATGTATGACTCAAGATACAACCCACCCTCATTAACATACGGAGGTTAGAATTTACCACACATATCTAAAATGGAGAATAATTACTTCAGATCACAAAATGCAAGACAACCACACAATACTGAGAATCATGGCCTAGTCAAGTTGAAGCTTATTTGGGGGGACACAGTCTGCGACATTGACTTTCTTCAAATTTTTTATTGATTAAACCAATTTGTCCAAAATAGAACTGAATTGTGGAAACACCAAAGTTTTTCCTATAAATTCAAGTAATACATTCCATACCCACCACCTAAATTCAAACTATTAACTAGTTACTTAGCTTCATGCTAAATCAGTTAAACAAAAAACAAAATTTCTTTTTCTTGTTCTTTCCCACCAAAAAAAAGTAAATAGAAAACACTTTTGTTTGTACAGACGGTCCCTGGGTCACAAAAGTGGATATTGTTTCCATTTTATTTTTGTATCTTATTTTTTTCCTGGGCCAACTGCACTTCTCATGGTACACATCCATAATCACTGTTTCTGTTCCAAATCTTTTCTCTCCCCTTTATCTTTTTTCTCTCTTCTTTATTTTCATTTCTGAGAGGTTTCCTAATAGTTTGTCCTAATGAGAAAATAAATATTATTTCCCTTCAAGTACATGAAGAAGTGCAGGCAGAGTGCTCCTTAGAGGCCAAGATGACCAAACTTCGTCTCTCATACTTTAGACATATTGTCAGGAGGGAGCAGTCGCTGGAGAAGGATATCATGTTTGGTAAGGTGGAGGGTCAGAGAATAAGAGGAAGACTCCCAACGAGAGAGATTGGCCAAGTAGCAGCATCGATGGACTCAAGTGTGGCAACAGTAGTGAGGTTGGCCCAGGATCAGGCAGTGTTTCTTTCTGCTGTGCATAATGTCGCTATGGGTCGGTACTGACTCGAGGCACCTAACAACAACAACATTAAAAAAAAAAGTGACTTCCCCTTTTCCCACCCTCCTTTTTTTTAACCTGCTTTCCCAGTCACTCAAGTTAGCACGTGTCTACACTTTACCCAGTGAATAATTCTCCCTTCCCTTCCACTTCTGGTAACCATCATAGACTGATTCTTTCAGCATAAAAACCTTTTCTTGACTTCTTATAGTAGTGGCCCATACAACATCTGTCCCTTTACAACAGACAAGTTGCACTCAGCATAATGCCCTCCAGGTTCCTCCATGTTATATAGTGTTTTGCAGATTCATCAGCGTTGTTTAATATTCCATTGTGTGTATGTACCAAATTTGTTCAACCATTCCTCTACTGATAGGCATTTAGGCTGTCTCCATGTTTTTGCTATTGTGAATAATGCTGTATATATGGGTGTTCATATATACATTTATTCATGTTGTGGCTCTTATTTCTTGAGGATGTATACCAAGTAGAGAGACTGCTGGGTTATATGGTATTTCTATTTGAACCTTCTAGAAAAGTGCCATACTGTTGTCCACAGCTGTTGCACTCTTGTACAAACCCACCAGCAGTGCAGGGGGGTTCCATGCTCTCTGTACCCTCACCAGCATTTGTTATTTTCTGTTTTTTTGTTTTTTAAACTTAGTTATTAATGCTAGGATAATATGATATCTCATTGTTGTTTTGATTCTGTAGGATAAGCACTCGACCTCAAGGTCAGTTTGAACCACAAGGTTGGTGGTTCAACTCACCAGATCTTAGGAAACTCTATACAGGGTCACTATGAGTCAGAACTTACTCAACAGCACTTGACAATAACAACAACAAAATGGCTAATGAGGACTCCTCCTGATGTGGTGCTTTAGGATCAGCATTGGACTTCGAACCACAATTTTGGCAGCTCAAACCCCAGCTACTTCTTGGAAACCCTATACAGAGTTGCTATGAGTGAGAACCAATTCAACAGCACTTAACAACAACAATGGCTAATGAAAGAACCCTAGTAGCATAGTGGATTAAGGGTCAAGCTGCTTAAAGTATGATGAGGCCTGGGGACTCCTGAGCCCATGGACAAGGACATGGCAACAGAGGGCTAGAGCTGAGAGTGAAGTGTCCAGTAGATATGAAGTAAGGGGAAATGCACAAGGGTGCCCAAATAGGGCCCATTGGACCTAGCTTCAGTTGCTGGATGATCAGAACCCAACTAGAGGAAGATAAAAGAAAAAAAAAATTTTTATAAAGAAAATAAGTAAATTGTTAGAATCTGATGAACTTGACCTATACTTATGGATGTAGCAGCTTAAAATACCAACCAAGAGGGAAGGAATCTTCACAGCAAGGATCATTCCCATCCCCTCTATACACAGGATTGCTAGGGATGGGCAACTTAGACATTGGCTACCTAAAATGGGGGCACTATAAAGGCACGAAATGACTGGCTTACAAGTTTTCAAGAGGGAGTTTAGTTTCAGAGTGTGCAGGGGAAGGTAGAATCCCCACTGAGTGGTTTTTATCCTGCCTAGACAGGTCTGATGAAAGGAGATGGGGACAAGACTCTTATGATCCAATAGTGAGTAATTGTTATCATGACTGGTTTGATTGTCACAACTGTAAGATAGAAGTTTTGTAGCAAAAAGGGGTGAGTGGTTGATCTTAACAATCCTGAAGTGGAGGACGCTGGGACTATCAAGGGAGTAGAGCAGGAGTGGAGTGTGGGACCCTACCCAGAGAAGAGACGATGCCAGAGATGGAGCAGTTGAGGACTTCATCTTTCTCCCGTGGAGCAGCTGGCAGTTTCAAACTGCTGACCTTGCGGTTTGCAGCCTGATTCGTAACCACTATGCTGCCAGAGCTCCATAACTACAGGGATACTTCTGTTTTAAAAGTAATAATAAATTTCTGTTGAAACACTGCAAAAAAGAGATTAGGGCTGCTAACCTCAAGGTCAGCAGTTCAATTCTACCAGCCCAGCTCCCTCCATGGGAGAAATATGAGGCTTTCTGCTCCTGTAAAAATTTACAGCCTCAGAAACCCTATACAGGGTTGCTAACAGTCAGAACCGACTTCATGACACATAATCACAACCACAACCAATGGCTAATGATTGTGAGTAGTTCTTTGTTTGTTGACCATCTGAATATCTTCTTTGGTGAAGTGTCTGTTTATGTCCTCTGCCCATTTGAAAATTGTATTCATCTTCTTGTTGAGGTGGTGAAATGTTCTATAAATTTTAGAAAGTACCCCCTTGTCTGATATGTCATTGTCAATAAATTTTTCCCAGTCTATGGGTTATCTTTTGATTATTTTGTTGATATATTTTGATGAACATAATTATCTAATTTTTAGGAGTTACCAGTCATCTATCTTGTCTTTTGTTTGTATATTTTCAGTTATGTTTGACAGTGCATTCATTTATGCCATATAGCAGAGCTCCTAAGTTTGTCCCTATTTTTTCTTTGATGATCTTTATAGTTTTAGGTTTCACATTTAGGTCTTTAACCCACATTGAATTCAGTTTTTGTATATGGTGTGAGAGATAGGGTCTTATTTCATTCTTCCGCAAATAGATTTCCAGTTTTGACAGTACCATTTGTTAAGGAAACCATTTCTTCCCCATTGGATGTGTTTTGGTCCTTTGGGCATATTTGGGCCTGGATCAACTGGGCATATGTAGATGGATTTACTTCTGGATTTTAAATTCTGTTCCATTGATCATTGTATCTTTTCATTGTACCAGAGACTGTTTTGATTATTGTAGTTGTGTAGTAGGTTTTGAGACCTGGAAGTGAGAGGCCTCCTACTTTGTTCTTTTTTTCAGTAATGCTTTGTTTTTCCAGGGTCTCTATCCTTTCTATTTAAGTTGGTGATTAGTTTTTCCATCTCTTTAAAGAATGATGTTGAGACCTGGATTGGGGTTGCATTATATCTATAGTTTACTTAAAGTAGTGTTTACATGGTATATTCTTCCATTTTTGTAGGTCACTTTTGGTTTTTCTTCTTGTTGTTGCTAACTATTGACTCATAACTCTCTATAGGATTTCTGAGAAGCGGCTGGTGGGTTTGAACCACCAACCTTGTGGTTAGCAGTCCAGTATTTATCCTACAGCGCCATGTTTTATGGTTCTCTTCGTATACATCTTTTGTTTCTCTGGTTAGATTTATTCCTACCTAAGTATTTAATCATTTGAGTGACTATTATAAATGGTATTGTTTTTCTAATTTCCTTTTCAGAGCTGTCTTTAATAGTATAGAGGAATAACTGATTTTTGAATGTTGATCTTGTACCCTGCCTCTTTGCTAAATTTTAAAATAAGTTCCAATACCTTTCTTGCTGAGTCTTTAGTATTTTCTGTGTAGAGGATCATATCATCT